TCGTAAGGGGCCCGGGGGCAAGGGGCCCCCCCCCCCCCCCCCCCCCCCCCCAAAAAAAAAAAAAAATGTTGACCGAAGGGGCTCAGCCCCTTCGAAAATTCATGATTTTTTTTTTTAGCACTGACCCGAGGATCTTTGTGATGCTCATCTTCCGTTTGGCAGTTAGAATGTGGGTTCTGGACTTGACACATGCACCCAGCACGGCGTGATCAACACTGCGCCTGCTTGTGATCCTGTCAGTACTTGCGGTGGGAATGAGAGGTGAATCATGCTTGAGTGATTCCTAGTCCTAGCCTCGGTGAGTCGTCATGACGGATGTGTAGCCAATACCTCCAATTCTCGGACCATCTTGATTGACCGAGTGATTCACCGTTCACGCGAACTATGGAGAATAAGTTCGTTGTAAAAAAACATTAATGAATAAAAACCTGTTAATTCCATAAGAGAAGGCGAACTCGAAGATCAGTACGAGAAATACGCTCTTTTTGAAGGGGGAAAAATTCTGTAAAGGATGACCTCAAAGAAGCTGCGAAACGGCTTCTGCTTCAAATTCGGTCGATTGAGGGCGAGTCATCTGATGTGGTTGGAGCGTTATCATCGGCTATCATTTGAATACTTTATCGGAAAGGTGGTCTGATCAAATTTGCGAGCAAGCATTCGAGGAAGAGCTTCTCATGCCTTCTCACAGGAAGGAGAGTGCATTCATAAGTAATGGATTCAGTAATTAGAAGGCACTGGAAAGGTTTCCGCTCATTAGAAGCCTGTCATCGAAGGGCATGCAAGAAGTTCCATGCATTCCAGTCGTCGTGGGTGGATTCAATGAGGCTTAGAGGCCGATCGTTTACATGCTAGAAAGGCATCAGTGATAGCGATATAGACGGAAACTGTTTTCTTCCTCACGACCAGGATCCACATGGATACGGTGAATGAATGAAAGTAAAAGAAACGGAAGCACAGGGACACTCTCAACCGGTCAGTATATTTAAAAAAAAAGAGGGGGAATAAATCCAACATTTCGGAAGCGTAACGCCTCCTTCCTAAGGGAGTGAAAAATCTAGCCGAAAAATAAAATAAAATAAAAAATGCCCCGAATATAGGGGAAATAAAATGTGCTAACAACTAGAAAAAAAAGGGGGGGATGAGAAATATCAACTAGGAGAGAAGGCGGGTGATATAAAAATTACAGTGAAAACTCGTTAACTCGAACTTTTAGGGACCGGGCAAATCGTTTCGAGTTATCCGAAGTTCGAGTTATCAGNCGGTTGAGAGTGTCCCTGTGCTTCCGTTTCTTTTACTTTCATTCATTCACCGTATCCATGTGGATCCTGGTCGTGAGGAAGAAAACAGTTTCCGTCTATATCGCTATCACTGATGCCTTTCTAGCATGTAAACGATCGGCCTCTAAGCCTCATTGAATCCACCCACGACGACTGGAATGCATGGAACTTCTTGCATGCCCTTCGATGACAGGCTTCTAATGAGCGGAAACCTTTCCAGTGCCTTCTAATTACTGAATCCATTACTTATGAATGCACTCTCCTTCCTGTGAGAAGGCATGAGAAGCTCTTCCTCGAATGCTTGCTCGCAAATTTGATCAGACCACCTTTCCGATAAAGTATTCAAATGATAGCCGATGATAACGCTCCAACCACATCAGATGACTCGCCCTCAATCGACCGAATTTGAAGCAGAAGCCGTTTCGCAGCTTCTTTGAGGTCATCCTTTACAGAATTTTTCCCCCTTCAAAAAGAGCGTATTTCTCGTACTGATCTTCGAGTTAACGAGTTTTCACTGTATATGGGTGGGTAATTAGAATTGGAATAAAATTAGAAAAGGTAAGGGATTACAAAAAGGGGGTAAAAGGGTGGAACACAGACTGGGGTTGTCTCACGACAGAAGCAAAAGGAAGAATGAGTCGGAAAAGGAAAATGCGGGGGGGGGGGGCAAGGACTAGAAATGGGAGGAGAGGTCAAAGGGAGTTCATGATCAATTTTAGCATTCTCTTCTAGAATGTTTCGCGTTGCCTTCTAACTGACGGTTCGGCTAACCTCAACCAATTGGGAGGATAGATACATAAATCTGTATGTCGATGTCCTGGATTATTAAAATGAATACCTGTCAGGACCTTGTAATTGAGCTTTGCACAAGGAATATGCTCTTTGGTTGGGGTTAAAGGATTAGCCATACGGCAAAGACGGATCTGCTCAGATGAGAATTCCTTCTCCAAACGCCTCCATGAATTAAAAACCGGCCTGATAAAACGAGGCTATCCACTGAACATCATTGATTTGATTGTCGAGAATTATCACGGATAATTCTCGACACGTTGAACTTACTTTGACGGGAAGGACTAAAAATTGCGAATATCAATAAGGGGGGAAAATGTATCTGTATAGACCAGCTGCGGATTGTGCTCAATCTCTCAATGCTAACTAAGGCCGAGTTCATACTCGGGCATCTTGCATAGGACAGTATGCAGTTGCAGCATCCAGCATGCTGTACAGCGAGAGTATGAACTCGGCCTAACGCTTTTCTGCTTCAAATAACCTCAGCAGCTATTGTTGCTGGTACAATCGAGGTCTTAGTCCGTTAATCTGGTACAATTGGCTGAAATGACTTAAAAAACCACTGCCCCAGCCGAAACCTACAACTTTCTGAGAGGGGGAGAGGGCAGAGTCAGGGACAGCGAGCACACGAGCGAAAGAAATACTTGCAAAGTAGTACAGTCTGATCCCCCCCATCTATGTTTCTCAACAAATCGCTGCCTATGGCCACTCAGCTAATTTACTTTGATTTCAGAATTTCCTTCGTGCCTTTCCAGGTTCATTTCGTACGTTTTAGGATTTATTCAAGTTACTTCCTACGAAATAAATATTTATTAAGGCGGTGCACTATCAATTCGAAAATGTATTTGGTCAATCCACGTTCACTGTACGGTACATGTTTTTAAGAACCCCGATTTGGATTTAATTTCAGTTCGGTCTCAATAACACCGTGATACGTGTAAGTTCATGAATTAAGTGAAGTACTGGAGCCCTGTGGAAACATGCTTAAATGAAGTGGAAAATGTGTACCCGTGAAACTTTCACGGTTTCCTTATCGAGCATGGTCTATTTCCATTCAATGGCATTCAAATGAGACACGCAGGTAGAATTCAAAACACACAAGAGTTGGATTTAGAACTAACGAGAATGCGTCCTGTCATCAGAGATCCTCAAAATTGTAGCTTGCGGGCGAAAGGACACGTACGAACGCAAGCGAAACGAATGTATGCTAGGTGAATTAACAAAGAAGCAAAAACGTAAGGGCTCGCATGAGCAGACCTTTTATTTTCAATTCACCTCCAGGTAATGCAGATGCAATCAACTGGTCGAAAATTGTCGCTTATCATAATTATACTAGTATTAAAGAAAAACTCCCCTTAAATGAAGATATACTGAAAACAAAACTTGAACTGCATCGAGACTGAATATGAAATGATCGAGTTTCATTTGCCAAGGCCAGTGGCGGCTCGTGATATTTAGCGCTTGTGGTTCGTCTGTGGAGAAGGGGCAGCCAGTGCCTTCCCCTGCCAAGACTAAGAAGTCTTCTGAATTAGCTGAGATCAGCGTCAGTGCAATGCCCCGCTCTTCTTCCATTGCTTAATGTGGAAGGAGGCTGCAGCCCTGTGAGGCAGTGGAAAACTGTCATGGCAGCGTCCAAGTTCTGCATGGTACCATAGGGTGGCATGTGACGCACTCATGAGCCACGTTAGGCATATGTCTGTGTTCTCGTCTTTTAGAAGGATTCTGTAAACTTTACCTGATGTTTTTGCCGATACAAGTAAAATTACCTGTTCTACCCCCAGATATGGTAGGTTCTAGGCGCATATTAGCCTGTTTGCCTATCTCTGTGCCTAAAGTTAGCCTAATTTGTGCTCAAAATTCTATTTTGTGTAGCACTTGCACTCTATTTCCAATCTCAGGTGTATTATTCAGAAATGGATGGTTTTCCTGAAATACCAGTTTCCTTCCTCGGTTGGGGGAGCCTTGGGACAGTCCTCTTCATTGCAACTTTTGGGATCAAAGGTTGCATAACCTGTTGCATTATGCTTATCATATTTAGCTTTGGGTAAGCATTTTCTCTCTGCATCTTTCTTTTATTAATAGATTGACTCAAATGCTGCAATCTAATTGCATGGTTCTCTTCCCTTAGACTGTGGTTAACTGGAAGTCCAAAATTAAAAGACTCTGCTGATATGTACAATGTTGATGTTCTCCGTTCAAGACTGGATATTCCAGATGATGGAGTGCTGAAGGTTAGCTTTAATGTACTTGGAATTTCATGAAATCATTATGGAAGTGTAATATTCCCATTTCATGATTTGATGATATCTGGTCATATACCCTAGCTTGTAAGAGTGATTCAGGAGCCAAAGAAGTCTGAAAAGAAAGATAAGAGGCTGACAGGTTCATATATAATTGATGAACCACTCCGGGATATCATCCAGTACACAATTCGTGACTATGTGCAAACATGGTATCATCACATCAGCCCAGACACAGAGTTTCCTGAAGCCCTGGAATCCTTAGCACAGAAAGTCATCATTGCCTTGGCAAATAGGTGAGATAAAAAAGTTTAAGAACTTCAAGCAATTTGTGAATTGAAAATGTATCTTATTTGAAATATTTATGGATTTCATTTTGCAGATCCAAAGAAGTTGACTGGATTCCATATTTGACAAAGCGTTTTGTTGATGACATTGCCACCCACTTAAGGTTATTCAAGCAGTCAAGGCAGGCACATATAGCTTCAAAGGGAGAGCGAGAGCTAACTGAGCATTTCTTTGACCATGAGTTTCTCTTGGAGAAGTGCCTCTGCCGGGATCTCATCTGTACCAGGGAGGAAGTTGAGCAACGTATGAGTCCTTTTTGTGTTGTTTGTTTGAAGTCAGAGTGATTGGTCCTATGTACTTGTAAAGTCCTGAAGAAAGCACCAATGTTTAATATGAATTTGCTTCTAAAGAGGAACTGATCATGTAATCTTGGATGTGATAAGACACTTGGGTGAAATATTCTTTGCAATCAAAGCTTCCTAAAACTTAGGCCTAGAGAATTTATGCTCACAGAAATCCTGTATAGCTTAACCACTGTAGCTGTGAGACTCAGAATTGATCCAGGCTGTCATGGATATCATGTACTAAATTGGCATGCTATTGCATGAGGCAAACTGGAGCTTATCTGGGTCTCACACTCAAGTGGTTGAAATGAATGCCATTAGGCCTACTACAACCCATCTCATAGTTAAATAGTTACAATGATTTTTCAGAATGTAGGATGTTCATTGCCTTTTCTGCACACTGTTCATGATGGGGTGAGCAATAGACAAATTATGATATAAACTAAGCATTTTAAGTCCTGCTCATCCATGCATAAAGTGATATGTGAGTTAATACTTTGCAACACACAGGTATGTGGTACAGCCACCTTCTTACTGGGCCATACTATATGCTGACACATTCAATTTATTACCCACTAACTTGCCTAATGCCTGAGGAATGGAGAATGAGGGTGGCTTCTATGAAAGCACCTGTTTCCTTCTCTTTTACCATCCATTTTTTGGGTGTTTAGCAACTTTTCTGTGCTTCACCTAATCCTTGACCTTAAAAATTTGGTTAAATTTTCTCTTTCTGGGTTATTGTTTTGGGCGATTCATGTGATCCCCTTGAACCTTATTTAAATTGGTGTGTTGGGCAATTTTTTTCTGTAAATATTCATCCCACCTCCTTGAAGCTCAAATTAATTTCATGGTACACTGCCAGGAGCTTGTGTTCCAAGTTTTATCCAGATCACTCAGCAATTTTTTTTTTGTTACTTTTTTTTAGTTAAGTGCATTTAGACTTTCATTGGCATGAATCAGAATGCAGTACCAAATTTTACCTAATATATTTAAATTCCAAACATTTTGCATATGTGACCAACTCTGATACGTCACATTTCCCTGGTGTGGGCACCAGGTTAACACTGTAGCTGAAGGAATCTTTTAAATTAAAGTCTTTAATATAGGGTATTTTTTAATGCTATTAATGCCATAATTTGCTTCTAAAGGGAAAATGTATGCCTTTTTCACATTATCTTGATATTTCAAGGAGGTTTTTTTTTTTAAGTCTGATGGGCAGTCATTAATTTCTTACTAGCCAAGATTTGAATTTAGAACCAGTAACCATGGCACTGCTGGACTGTGGAGTCTTATGGATCTTTACTGGTTTCCACAGAGTATCTCAGAGAAATTAGTGAAGTGTTACTGTACCTGACTTTACCACCAGAAGATTTCCCTTGCAAGACATTAAGATTCTTGCTTCGAGAACTTTTGGTGTCTGCCATATTGCTTCCAACAGTCAGGCTTCTCTCTGACCCTGACTACCTCAACCAAATCATCATATGGCTGGTAAGTTACAATCAACTCCTTCACACCTCACATTTCTTCACATGCAGCTCAATAGAGCAAGACACTATGGATTTTGCTGCTTCCCCCAGTGTAAGGCAGTGCCAATTACAAATGAAGCATTTCTCACTGCCATGCGCATGACAGACCGCTGTGATGAGCTTGCTGCTGTCCTTGAGAAAGTTAATTCTGAGACCTCTCTCCTGGTAAGTCACACTATCCAAATACTTCCTTGGCTTACTGTGGTTTGGTTATCCATCTAACTTTTACTTTTCTCAAAGCGGTCACAAGATTCTGGAGGCGAAGCAGATGCAGAGATCAAGCAGCAGCTCTCCAGCCTCTCATATGTGAAACGGCTCTTGGAATCTCGAATACATCGCCTTCGAGAGGGAGGAGTAAATCAGGATGGTTATAGTATGTGATTAGATCCCCTTATGTGGAGTCTTAGTTTATTCAGACACTAAGAATTGATGCCCCTTTGTCATAGGTCTTCCATATGGTTGCGACTGGAACCGTTACCTCCATGGTGGAGTTCGTCTTGTCAGCCTTTCTCTTGACACTTTGCTCAAAAACAACATTGCCCTGACTTGTTTCATCGAATTCCTTCATACAATGTCAGCTCAGCATTACATTTTCCTTTATCTGAACATTGAGGGGTGGAAGGTATCAGCTGAACAAGTGATACAGGAGGTAGACCTTGCTTGCCTCCAAGGTGGAGATGCCAAAAAACCGAAAGTGGATCGAGCATCCGAACTTGAAAAAATGAGGCAGCCTGCTCTCCAGATCTATCATCAGTATCTCTCAGACAAAGTAAGAATCAACATCCACATTCAACTTCTTAGCAATCTGTACTATACCTCAATATGACTGCCTCTTTTTTCCTTCTTTCTCCTTTGAGGCCTCACCAAAAGTGAAGTTAGATGACACACTTGTGAGGCAGCTATACCAGAAGTTGCAGTGTGAAGTGCCTCGTGAAACATGGTTTGATGGAATTCAGCATATCTTGAAGGAAAAGCTTGCTGTCAGTGAATTCTTTATCTCTTCATACTATTTGGAGACTCTGTGCTTGCATTAATGTCTTACAGTGCTGGGAAAACTAAATTAGATTTTTGAAAATATGGTATTTTCTGTGTAGGATGAGCCATTTCTTCCAAGTTTCCGTCGAAGTCCAAACTACATCAAGCTCCTGGCAGAGCTGGACCTGCTGAAAGATGGATGTCGTAGTGATGAGGAAGACTCTGCATCTTTGGAAGAACTAAGCCTCAGTGATACTGGAAGCATTGCATCTGGAGGGACACCTGAAGATGCTCTCAGCATTGAGGATAAAGACCTTACCCATTCTTTTGTTCCTGTTATGTCCCCTCCCCTTATCCATGAAGGTGCTCCTTCACTACAAGTGGAGATCACCAACTACAGTACGTCATTTTAAGTGTCTTTAACCCTTTATTGATGGTGGGCTGGGCAGGAAGCATGTCTGAAGGTCATCTCAATTTTCTCAAGTATTGCTTCATAGCTAGTACAGGAACTAAGTAAAGAAAAATTATATTACCAGCATTTAGCTCAGTGGTACCTTATTAAACATATTCACCATCATGGTGCACTCCTACCACCTAGTTGGTTGTGATACTTCACCATGAGCTTTTCATAGGAGCATCTTTATCTTCTACACTCTTATGCATGCAACCCCACAGAGTCTCCTGCATCCTGGAGAACAGGAAGTCACATGCTTTCAAATTGGGTGAATAAGGTGTGAGGATTTCAGCATGGCATTGAGCCACTGGCCAGGAACTTTGGTCATTTTGTATGAATAGAAGAGCACAATTGATGCAGAACAGCTTTTCAGAGTACGGGGTTGATTTCAACTTAAACATGTTTATCACTCCTCATCACAGACTGCAGGGGAAATGACACACACCTGTTTATGCTCCTGGAAGACAGAACTCATCACTAAATTATGTCATTGTTGAAGATACATTATTCAAGAGCATTATGGACTGCTCTATAGCAAGGCCAAGACAGTCATCATAGCTGCATTTGTTTAAACACTGCTACTGCTCTACTACTACTTCTGGGAATGTGATGAAACTCTAAGCATTTGCTCAGTAGAGATGATACCATCTAGTGCCTGTGTTCTGGGTTTTTATCACTTGGTGGTAGCTTAACAAACTATCCTTGAGACATCTGGAATAACCCTCATTGGTTTGGGTTACTCTGGTGCACCTCTGCAGTTCTAGCTTGGAAAATCACCTGTCAGTTTTTCTCTTCTTCTGGTCACATGGACAATTCTTCCCACTTTTCAATGCTCTTTTTCTTTATTTTCTTACCCTATCACTTATCCATTATTCTGTACTTCTTTTCTCTACTTTAACTTTTTAATTTCCCAGAAGCTTGAAAGCTTCAAAGAAGCAAACTTGGGTCTACTACACCAGTCATTGTGAGCCTTTGCAAGATAACTTGGGTGCACTGATAGAAGGGCTAATACTTAGTATTTGTTCAGCAGGTTTTTAAGTTTATATATTTCAAAGCAGATTCTTTGATGTTTTATGTAGCTGTTGTCCTGGACTCTCCCAAGCCATATGCCCTGTATGAGGTCACAGTAAAAAAAGTGGAACCTCAAGGAAATGGTCAAATGCAGGAACTCGTATGGCGCATCTTCAGGCGATACTCAGACTTCTATGACTTCCATCAAGTTGTTGTTGAAAAGGTACTTGCATGTCAAAGGAGAAGAGTCTCTCAAAATTCTTTGTATGTTGAAATTAAAAAAAAAAGCTATGTTGAGTAAGATGTGAAAGGAGTGAAAATTGCAGAGTTTGGCTAAAGTGCAAGTTTGAGATTTATCTCCTTGGCATGTTATCATTGTCTTTCTGTCATATGTTTACCAGATAGATTCTTCCTTTTACTTTTAACTGCCTTGTTGCTTCAATACATCCATAAAGAGGTTTCATCCTTTCCATGGTCTGCAACACTGATTGCCAGAGTCTTAAGGGAGGGCACTTGAGTAAATGCAAATGGGTAGGAACCTCTTGCACCACATAAGCCAATAATGCAGGGAGTTATGGGGAGTTCTGAGGGGCAGAATTGTAGAAGAGAGAATATGAAAACTGTAGATGAAGGGAATTGTGCAGATAATTACTCATGAGTCAGTTTGCAAGCTTTGAAATGCTGTAGGATAGAGGCTAGCATGACATCAAAATTCACTTAAAACTTACATTTGTTCAAGTTTCCTGAGAAGACAGAGACATTTCCATTGATACTATGGCATCATGAAATGAGTAGAAATCAAAAGGAAAATGAAGAACATCCATTGAATATCCAGAGAGCAGGAAGGCAATGGTGATTATCCAAAAAAAGTGAATGCTCTACTTGTCCCTTAACCAGATCTTACTTGTAGATATCACACTTAATTTCTTGCTCAGCATGCTTCTACCATTATTTAGTCTAAGTTTCATATTATGGATGTCCCATTTCTCTTAATACTGTTTTGCAGATGAAAGTGATACTTGAGTATGTTGATGTTCCATTCCAGTTTCCATCCCTGAATGCTCTTTACTTCCCTGCAAAGAAGACCTTCAACAACTTGAAACGAAACTTTCTCCGCACTCGCCTCCTGGAACTCAACCGTTACCTCCAAACTCTAGCATCCAAAGAGTTCCAAAAAGCACATCCTGGGTTAAGTGATAGACTTATACAGTTCCTTGAGGGATCCTACGAACAGCGTGGCATGGTAGAGCGCATGGTCATCATGCCTTTGAAACATGGGGTTAAGACGATGGGGCAAGCCATCACAGCCGTCCCTGGAACCGTCCTTCAGACTGTGGATGACATGGTAGAAGGAATCAACAAAGTCTTCAGTCGGCCTTCAAAGGGCCCTGCTGCCCTTGCTCAGGACATGAGGGTTGCAGCCTCCCTTGAGCATCATGTGAGGATATCTCTGTACATTGTTGAGGCACTTTTGTTTTTCAGAGGGTTTCCAGTCATTTACTCATGTTGTCACACAAATTTGAGAATGTGTTGTGGCTATCAGTGATAGTTATACACTCTGCCCACACAGTTTCTAGCAAAAGATAATCTTAAATCTAGGCTACTTTTGAAAAGCTGCTGGTTGCAAAATGTAAATCCAAGAACCATGAAAGCATGCAACTATAAAGTGCATGGATGCCTCCATGACCATGCAATAATTTAAAGGGGTAAACAGACCTCTGGAACCCCTGATGCTGAGTCTGACCTCAAAAGAATAATATAATACTCCCCTTCTAGCAAGAGTCACAAGAAAACAATGTGCCCTCTGCCTTGGCTGCTCTACTAGGTTCAATGAAGGTGTATTGTGGTGTATTTAGGATGAGGAGACAATCCCTCTTCGCATTCTCCTCCTGGTCTTCAACGAAGTGTTTGATATGCGGAATCAGGAGGCTTGGCTGCGCAAAAGACTTGTGGCTGTGGCCCATCATCTGGTCAATGTCATGTTTGGTGACATCTACAATCGCCGCATTCTGGAATTCATCGACTGGGCCACTTCTTCTGAGCAGGTGGCTCTCTACCTCAAGAATTTCAGGTTTTATTCTTATTACTTTCTGCTTTGGCACAGTTAAACTGTTATTTTCAATATACTAAACTGAATACATTCTTGCAGAAACTCATTCTGGCCCAATGGCTCTCTAGCCCTCCCTGCCCCTCCAAGGGACAAGAATACCAAGTTAAGAACTCAGATTGCTGCCAAAGCATTTCTTTTCTCAGTCATTCCAGGTACTGCATTCCCATCTAATTTTGCCAGTTGCTGAATGACATGCCCTGTGTTTTGTTTTGGTAAAAACAGTCCTGTATCTCAATCCTCTAGATGAATTGAAACGGGTCTTGGGCAATGATACTGCACGTAGGGGGATGTTAAGTGTTTACGACATGTTCCAGCATCCTACCCTGAACAAGAGGCTTGTCTACCTCATTTTGGAAGGTCTTCTGGTGACAGTTTTCCCCAGGAACCAATTCCACAAGCTGTTCACGGAGTTTCACCACCAGTCACCACGTGTGTCAACAAAGGCCTCGACCCGGTCCCCAGGTGTCACACGAAAGAGGTGATGATCCCAGCCTCTTCCATCTCCTGCAAATGTTTATCTTGAGTTTTTTTATCTATCATCATGTTAGGTTATTACTCTTAATGACTACCTAGAGAACTGGTCTCTTTTGTGTGCCTTTCATCGTATCCAAAGAACCTTACCCGATAGTTGTGACATTATTGTATTTGTCACATCAGACCAATGCAAAACTTGTGATGGGAGAAACCACATTCCATCTCCCCTACATTTCTTGTGGAATTGATGGTTAGTATAGATTCATGCCCTGGAAATGAGTACTTGACTAGGCTATTGATATAGTTTGTTACTTTTGGTTATTAACGATAAGATTGACCAACCAACCTGAAAGTGCAACAATGATAGTCCCATGGTGATTTTGTAAATATCTTGATCAAATGTCCAATTGTCATTGTTTGATGTGTGAATTTTGGAAATACCTTGATGCTCCTTGGCCTTTTTCGCCGGCCAACAGTCATTTCACAGCAAGATTGTCTTGCTGTGGTCTGCACAAGATTGACTGAGTCAAATCAAGTTAATTTGAGTGAGGTAGTTTTTCTTCAACCAGCTGCTTTAAATTTTGCTTGTCATATTTGCAGTTTGAGGCTTTTTATTGCTGGATTCTTTCAGCTGAAATGGGACTAAGGCTTGGAAGCTTGCAAACATTCCCCAAAATTTGGGATTGCCTTTCTTTTAAAAGTAAAGTGCAAACTATTCTTTAACCACACTTTTAATAGCCAAATCAGTAACCAGTCAAGGCTAGATGAAATGATTAAAGAGGAAAAAACTGTGATGAAATAATGTTAGCCTATTTTTTTTTTATGTGATTGTTAGGGTTATAGTGAAGACCTAAAATTTCAATGTTAGAATACATGACTTACATCTCCATAACCTCTAGACTGCAAACTATGACTCCAGGAATTAACAAAGTCCCAACCTCATGATTTAAAGAAAAGCCCTAAGAAGCATTGATCAAATGTGATTCAAATTTAGTCCACTTTACCAGTATATACATTCAATTTTTTTTAGTTTAACATTTTCTCCTAACTTGTCTTCCTCCTTTACAGATGCAAGTAGGACCTAAGAGGGAACTCTAGACTTTCTGTATTAGCTTGGGTTTCTCCATCCTGAATGGAAAAAATTATACCTCATAGTCCAGCCAACCAGCAAAATTTGTTGGTATTGCTTGAAAAAGATCAAAAGTAGCTGAGTAATTGGATGGAGTTTCAAAAATTTGTTATAGAGACTTTTTACATTTTTCACTTTAACATCGAATCTTTCTGCCTTGCTTGTATTGGTTATCTTTAGTGCCAATGATGACTTATGGGTGATGAGGGAGAACTAAAAAGCAAAGCTGTGAGATGAAAAGTATTTTTAAAAGTCATCATATCTTGTGAAAAAAAATTATTTAAATCATGAACTTGATTCTTCACATTAAAAAAAAAATGTCTGCCAACCTTGAGCCTGAAATCGTTTTCACCAACCCATATTGCTTTTGTAAGGATTCTTGCTAATTTTCTCATACAAATTGTGCCCAATTCTCTGAATCAGTTATGCTGATTTTTGGAAATCATATTTCAGAGATGAGTCAGGTATAGTTTTTCTATTATTTAGTGTTTAATGTTTCACTTTTGAAATTCTCACGCTGAAGAAGGAAGACCTGATGAAGTTTGCATGTGTGATGACATGTTCTGTGATATTTGTTTGTGATTATGTCATTCTTTTTGTGGGCCCAGTTTGTTCCACTGCACGGATGGAGTGTCCATTTCTGTTCGTTTCGTTCTTGTTCGTCCTTTTTTCATCCATTCAGTCTGTGTATGTTGCGGCCCATTTACATATCATTTCCTCAGAAGCAGAATATCATGCCAAACGTTTGTAAGACTTGGATCGAAGTTGGCCTATCTCTGTGATCCTGTCTCCAGTTTTAGATGATTGAGTGAGTGCATGTCTCATGGAACTGGTTCCTTACTGCTCATATGTTTGACAGTGATTACAGTCATTGCCTCTACTCTGATAAGAAAACCATATCATTCTCAAAACCTGATGAAAGTCTTTTATCTGATGCCTCATTTCGTTCCGAACATCACCGGGTGAAGTTCAGATTATCTCGGCCTATCCAGCAATTCCTGCAGGCCTTTAAACTTTTGTTGAGGGGAAACGAAAGCCCATATCCCACTTGTTCACACATACACAAGTCCCCTCTGCTTCCCTTCATTCCATGTAACTAAGTCGAACGAGCTGAAATTGTAAAATGGGTGGATTTTAACCCTTTCGCTGCGTGAATTTTGAAGAGGCAATAGAACCGCAGTCGAGTGAAGTCGCTTTTCGTAGCAAAAGGCAATCCGGCATTCTCAAATCCTCCATCTCCTTGAGCGGCCGACCTGACTATTCGGGCGGAGAATGAGAACGTTGAATATTCGGAACAGAACCCATATGGGGATTCCATCAATTTATTTGCCATTGCGTCATTCCGTCTGCTTTCTTTTCCTCTCGAGGTTTGATTGCCTGTGATCTATGAGATATCCCTGGTTGAATGGGGTCAATATTGGGTCATGAATTTTTTTCCCGGACCATTTCCCAATACTCAGGGAATCACTCGCTAATGAAAGAACTTGAGTGCCGTTTTCATTCTCACGATTGAGAGCCTGCTCGTTCTTGAGGTCAATATTAATTGCTTATGCCCTATGGTCCAATGAAGAAAGTAAGTGGGAACGGCGGTCCTGCTAGCCTTCTAAGGGGGGTGGGAAGGCCATTCCTTTACTTCTTGCTGGGACTTAAATTATTTCCCAAATTATCTGCAATAAATGACTATGTCCTCTGAGTATATTGTGATGTTAGAAAAAAAAAAAAACTGAGAAAGGCCCGACTGGTGGTGCTGCTGCGCAGGGGAGTCCGCTTCAAGGTAGAACACATTCTATCTACCTTGTACACTTACTGTGCGATTATAAAGAAACTTCTGCACTTTGGTGCATACTTCTTTCACTTACTGCTACTTCTCAGAAACGGTATGACATAGGAAGCTGAAATTGCACAGGGGTGTTACGTGGACCATGCGCTCAAATATGCCATATTTATCACATGTATATAATCAGGCGTGCCACTGTGACTTAATGTCTCACTAATCACAGTAACTGTTCAATATGTGCTTCGGTGTCCAGAATACATTACAAATAAGTTTCTTCAGAGGGACTGCAATGTTCTAGTACTGTTCGGCTCTGTATCCGTGAATCATCTGACAGGTTTAGTGATACGCAGCACACGCCCAAACAATATCCAAATAATCGCATTCTGCGACCAACAGCCCACCCCGACAGCATAAATATGGGTCCTGATTTCATTGACCAAGGCATCCGTGTACGAAATCATCGCCTGCATGGTTAGATTAGCGATGCTTCGTGTGTGAATCACCATGACCTCGAAGTGGAGTCTGGCTTTTTCACACATGGTTCACACATCCGGCATCCCCATATGATTCACATATCTGGGAGTCGAAACCCATGCCGTCCTCGGCTCGGCTCAAATACCACAGCGAGTCCATATTACCCCATTGTGGTCGCCTTGGTTATATGGATTTTTTTTGTGTGTGCACTGCGTGCCACCAGAATTTGTCAGAAGACTGTATGGAGCCGAACAGTATCAGGACATTGCAGTCCCTCTGAGGAAGCTTATTCGTTATGCATTCTGGACACTGAAGGAGTGCATATTGAACAGTTTGCTGTGATTAATGAGGCATGAAGTCACAGTGGCACCCCCGATTACATGCTATAACAATGGCATCTTTGAGCGCACGGTCTCACTGACACCCCTGTGCAATTTCAGCTTCTCGTCTCTTACCGTTTCTGAGATATTATTCACTAAAGCGCTGAAGTTTCTTTCCAATCACCCAATTCAGGCTGATTCCTTTTCCACCTTGATCCTTCTTGACGGTTCGTCGAGGCCGACAGGGAACAGAAGTAACGAAGGCTCGGTCTCGCTTGCATTCCGAATCCGCTCTGGTTCGAACAAAAGCCCTTTCGTCGCCCGTTAAAGCGACTAGCGAGCGAAAAGAATTCGTGCCGTGGCCTGGAAAACAAGAAAGACATTCGACTGGACTCCGAAGCCTCACGAAATCTCCTCTAGATGTCTCTGCCGGGAGAACACGGAGACCTCGTCTGCAATTTCGCGCTCGTTCGAGAGTGAATCGATTCCATTTCCGCTTCGAGTCCCTTTCTCAATGCAATGTACGAGCGGCGAAATCATTTTCGAGGACGGAGTCGGTCCAGGGTCACTGCGCCGAGTCGCTCGTGATCGTAACTCCCGCTTTACGCGCTGCAATTAAGTCTCAAACCGGTCTGGCTCTTTTTTTTTCTTTTTTTTTCCTTCGGGGAATTCGTGGAGGTGTCTGGGTGGCTCTTTTTTTCCCGCTGGGAGCGGCTCATGCGGCACCGAGTGTCGCCTGGGATGGGAATTTCGCCGTAATGGCAAAAAAATGAGCTGTCGGCGGGATTTATTTTCGAGTCGTGCCGGGTTTATGGCGGCATTTCCAGCGATCGGTCGTAAATTCTGGCCTTTTGGTTGCCGCTATCACTTTTGCAAATATCTTTTTAGCTCTGACGTCCTACTGACTGTAAGGCTACGTGTTGCATACAGTGTGTAACGTAGATTCTCATCCCCGGATCGAAAGGAACTCCGTTTCTGTTTAGATTTTTGTGTCGATTCCATTCGGTTGAATTTCTAAGGACCGAAAGCATCACGTCTCCAGCGGTGGCAAATGCACTTCGTCGGTTCTTGGCGGTCGAGGATCGGCGAAACCGGTTTCCACGAGAGTACTTCAGGACTGCGTTTCCATAAACACTCGACTGTTCGACCGAATGGAACCGATGAAAGGCGTCGGAGAAAACAGGGTCTGTCGGCGCCGAGTTCGTTCCGTGAAAGCCAAGCGGCTTCGATCGGGATTTATTTTTTGGCGACACTTTTGCAACACCCCGTTGACTAACCGGAAATCAGCACAATGTGCTTACGGTCTCA